TGAAGGTGAAATGAAAATAACTAATCCAGAGAATTTTTGAACACAATATTTTGTCTGTATGTCCTCACAATAGAGAAAATAAACTATAAAAAATATTGAGCTTCACTTAGCAGTTTTGTCACTCACAGTGATATGGGTTCAAGATTCTGAAATTACTTAACGTGTATTCTAGGATTCTGTGAAAAAGTAAAACTATTGTTGAAGAAAGGAATGATTCCTCACTATCAAGGGAAGGTGTTACATACAAAGAAAAGTACAGGCTGGAAACAACTCTGCAGTGTCAAACTGGAATTGGAGGTGTCAGTTTGAACTCATGGTTTTTAATATATATGTAAATAGCTTGAGATTCATGAATTAAATATCAATATTTCATACTGTTCTCATCACCCATTCTTTTTACCCTATTCCCAACCAACCTCTTATGACTAATCATTTCTCCTAATTTATTAGTTTCTTGTTTATACTTCCTGTGTCTCATATATATGTGTGTTATATATATATATGCAAGATGTTTTGTAAGCAGTGAACACACCTAACAAATTTTCACTTTAAATACCATTCTTCTCTGAAAGGAACTCAAGTTACATAGAAAAGATGGCCGTTTACAGGACTGCAATGAGGAAATACAAAGACTATCTAGGAAAATTTTGCTGAACCTGAAAGCAAGGAAGTGCTTGATGACTCAAGGAGCTCAAAGTGGCTCCCCATGGCCAAGTCTGGAATAATTTGGGCTTCAAAAAGAATACCAAAAGCAAACATACACATGGATAAAGAGAAAAGATTGGGGGTTACCAGAGCAGACATGGTTGGAGTGAGAGACAAATGGGTAAAGGGGCACATATGTATTGTGATGGATGGAAACTAAACTATGGGTGGTGAACACCATGAAATATATAAAGACGCTGAAATATAATGATGTACACTTGACATTTGCACAATGTCATAAACTAGTGTGATCTCAATAAAATCATTTAAAAATTAATAGTGACTGTAATGGATTATGACTCAGAGATTAAATGAGAAACTCTGAATCCATAATGATATAAATCAATTAATTAAAAAATGTGTTAGAGAAAGGAAATTTCTCTTTTACAGAGAACTCATACATGTAGAATGATTGATGGAAGGAGAAAAATCACCATTTGACCACCACAATTACAATAATTGTTTCAGACGAAAATCACATGATTCTTATGAAGTATGATATTACGTAGAGTGGTGGTTATATACATAACCTCAAAATATCTACCCAAGTTATATTTTTTAATTTCAAAGGTAAAAATAATAACTTGATAGTAAAGAAACCTGGCAGACACCACCTAAATCAATTCACCAGGGTTAAAATTGCTGGTGATTAGGAAAATCAGTGTTAACTGTGTTCTGATAATATGCACTGTGGTGTACAAGCCAAAGATCTATAGCCTGAATCTGAGATATGTGCATACCTACATAATAATAAAGCAAACATGGTTAAATATTAACTTTTGGGGAATCTGGGTGAAATGTACATGATAATTTTTAATATAATTTTTACTTTTTGTAAGCCTCAAAGGGTTTCAAACTAAAAAGTGAAAAAAAAACCTTCCTCCATAATTACTCAATAAGAGAGAATAGAGTATCCTATAAGTCTATTACTAAATTTAAAGTTGGCAGCCAGGCAGACAACTATGATCTTCCACAATATTCTCTTATAGCCACTGTCAGAGATAGACTATGAACGGCTGACCCATCGGCATGACACAGGAAAGGAATTCCATAAAATGTCGTCCCTGCTCTGTAAGAGTTTACAGTCTCTAGAATGAAACCGTAGAGGAAATTTTGCACTGAGAAAAGAAGTATGTCTGTAGAATAAAACATATTGGCATATTTGCCATCCACAAATTGGTACACAAATGAGTAATTAGAAAATGTTATCTATTCTGTGCTAGAAAGTTTCCATTTGCCTCTTCATGTTCATTCTCCAGCTTTATCCAGCCTACTTTGTCTCAGCAATCTGAACTTTATGGACTTTACCAACTGGACTCCCAGGCCCTTTGGATTTGACCAATGGAAACACAAGCAAAAGATGCAGAAGGAGAGAGAGGTTGGAGCATTTATTCTGTTTTCCTCCCTGCTGGACCTTGTGTTGAGAGTGGCTGTGCACATTCCTGTCCAGGGGTCCTCTCCTACCCCTACATGTCTCGCCAGGTTCTCATAACCACTCTCTCTCTCCTTGCACCTGTTTCCCACTGCTGCTGGACCTAGGTGCCTCACCATCCCTTAATAGTTTCCTTTAAACTTGCCAATACGTTTGTAAGCAAACCATTATTACAACTATTTAAAAAAAAATTCTTTGTCACAGCTGGAACCATGCCCAAGAAGAAAAGCATTGCTGGCAGCTGAGGCATCATTCCCTGGGACTCCAGTCCCCTCTGGCTTGTGGATGTGCAACTCTCCAAAGGGCAGTAAGAAATTGGCCAGTTATCCTACAATGGCTCCTCCCTGACCCAGAAGCCCAGGGATTTTTGTTTCTGTCCTCTTGTTGATACTTAAACTGTCATCTTTTTGCTCATTGCTCTGAAGTTGGCTAAGGAACATGAAAATCTGTAGAAGTGCTGAGGCCACAGATATTTTTTTCTTTTCATCTAGGTACCAAGTCTCCTGAAGAGAACTGAAGGTTTTGGCAACAGTCTAAGCAGAAGGAGTCTGAGGTCACTAACAAAGAAAACAGGTCAGAGGGACTGGAAATCTACACTTAGTGATGGACCTGCTTCTATGCTTGTGGGTTTGTGTATGATTATCTCTGTGCTCGTGTGTGTTTGTGTGTGTGTATGGTTGTGTTGGTGTTGTTGATAGTTGCATGTGTGTGTGTATTTTGTATCTGACTCATAGCCTCAATATTTTCCTGAGTTAGACTCAATCTGGGCTCTGTTTTACTGAATGAAGACTGAGTTATCATCCTCCAAACATATGATTAATGGACTCCTGATTCATGCCTGTGATCTTTAATATATGCCTCCTAATCTTATGATGAGGATATTTCCCTCACTAGGCGGGTGTCTGTGCTGAGCAGATGAGAGCTCAGCGTTGTGTATGAGATTGTTCACTCTGCTGCTGGAGAAGAAGATGCCTGACCTCAACAAGACATCCATGTCAAAGAGGGCCCAAACCTCTGCTCATCAGTGTGTGCTAGTGTCTGTGTGAGCTGTGTTTGTGGATGGCACACTCATTTGTGAGAGAAGAAATATGTATTGTTTGCTTTTATCTGTGTGTATATTACCATGCATATGTTTCCACGTGCATGGGTTGTTGGTGGTTGACTGATATGCCTGTGTAAATAGGCTTCACTGCCCTATGCTGGCTGCCCTCCCCCAGGAAGCATATGGGTCAGAAGGGTCCAAAGCTCACCTCTAAGTAATGAGTGTGTGTGCTGCTGGTAGTTGTAGTAAGTGTGTAGTTGGGTGTGCATGTGTGTTGTTTGTTTGTATTTATTGTGAGATTTTTGCATTGTGTGGGTCCTTATGTTTTTTTTTGGTGGATGTGTATAGTGATGAGTTATGCATATGTGATGAGTGTTTACCAGGTGTGTTATGTGTCAAGTGTTTTGTTGTGTATTGTGTGCTGTGTATGTCTCACTTTACATATTATTTATGACTTGTATGTTTGTATACAGTGTTTATGAACTGAACCACATACTGGTTCTCCTTCCTCTAAAATGGGAACTGGTCACATGTGACTGGAATACTCAAATTAGCAGTGTGTGTGATTTATATGTGTGTTTGGTTCTTCTTATTTTCCCCCCTGACTCAAATATTTCCTTAAGTATCTTCCTCTGCATCACTGTTGACTGCGATATCCAAAGCTCCAAGCAACTCCCTGTCTCTGAAATGGATCTGCTAGGATTTTCATATACCTGAGTGTGACTGAGTCACTCAAAGTGTTTTAACTCTTCACTTAATGTCCCAGGCAAAGATACATTAGCATTATGATGTGTGAAGTTAGAGTGCAGAACCCCCACCAAATGGCAGGGAGACCTTGGGAAAATCACTTAACTTCTTGGCCTCACTCTTCAATCTATAAAATGGAAAGAATTACACTTCTCTCATGAAACATACAGGCCTTTTGCAATATTTACTGTTTGAATAAATGATAACAAATGTGAGAGTGTTTTGTCAATTGGAAAATAAATCAATGTAAATGAAGGGAACTATCCAGACAGGGAACTAAGAAAATTTTGAACTACTTTGGCTTCTTTGCAGCCATGAAGCAACACAGGGTGTCTGGCACTCCTAACTGATGATGGGGGAAGTTTCCATGTGTAGTGGTTGAGAGCACGGGATATGATCACCCACTCATATTAGATAGAAGTGCATAAAGTAGTCAACATGCTATAATTTTTAAGCTACAGAAAATGACAATACATTTACTTTTCATGTATATGGTATTTATATAGTTTATATTTCTATTTCCAAAGAGCTAAAATAGGTGAAAGAACATTCCTTCTTAGTGCAGCTGGAAAGATTTTTAAAAATCTGGGAATAAAAGGCTGGTTATGTCGATTTAATTACGAAGTGTAGGTAAAGTTCTTAGCCTAGTATTCAAATGTTCACCAAAAATGTTCACCATTCTTTGAAAGAATTTGTGAACTTTTCCAGTATGAAAGCTATCCTGGAATCAAGCGGCTTTAGACAACCATTCAATTCTAGAGTGACCATGAGGTAACAACTGTGGGTCAAAAGGACAGAGCCAGGTTCACAGGAGGAGTGTGACAATGCTCCAACAAGGCTGCCTCAGCACTGGAGTCTCACGTTACTTTAAGGCAGAAATAACTGATACCAGTTTGCGGAGGCTCGTTTACTATTTCTGCCACAGTGAATTATTATCATTTTTCTGTCTTGGTGTAGTGAATTATCCCTCTATGCTCATCAAGGTCTATACTCACAGAGAGCAGGGACCCTGCCTTTTCTGTTCACTGCTGAATTCTCAGTCCTTGTTCAGACTCAATGTCCAATAAATGGTGGTTCGGTGAAGCTGAGGTCACTCTCTTGCTTCTGTGCCGTGAGGTTTTCCTGACTGCTTTAGGGCTTGATGATTTCCTGGAGCCGGATTAGGATAGACAAGGAAGCATGTATCCGCAGGTGTGAGAAATTAATAGAAATATACTTAAAAATTCATTGTTTTTCCAGAGAATTATAGTATGTAATATGGTGGTCTTGATCATCCTTTGTAGGGTCCTGAGATTCCCAAACCTTCTTCTTCCTCAGGATATAGAAGAACACATGAGGCCTGAGAACCAGAGCAGTGTGTCTGAGTTCCTCCTCCTGGGGCTCCTCTTCCCACCGGAGCAGCAGAGCTTGTTCTTTGCCCTGTTCCTGGGCATGTACCTGACCACAGTGCTGGGGAACCTGCTCATCATCCTCCTCATCAGGCTCAACTCTCACCTCCACACTCCCATGTACTTCTTCCTCAGCCACTTGGCCTTCTCTGACATTTCCCTTTCATCTGTCGCAGTTCCAAAGATACTCATGAACATGCAGACTCAGCGACAATCCATCTCCTATATGGGGTGCATTTCTCAGTTGTATTTTTTCATAGTTTTTGGTTGTCTTGACAATTTCCTTCTTGCAGTGATGGCATATGACAGGTATGTGGCCATCTGTCACCCACTCCACTACACCACCATGATGAGGCAAGAGCTGTGTATATCCTTAGTAGCTGGGTCCTGGTTCTTCAGTTGTGCACATGCCCTGTTGAACACCCTCCTCTTGGTCCAGCTGTCCTTCTGTGCTGACAATTCCATCCCCCACTTCTTCTGTGATCTCACTGTACTCCTGAAGTTGAGCTGTTCAGACATCTCCCTCAATGAGCTGGTCATCTTCACTGAGGCAGCAATGGTTGTCATCTTGCCTTTGATTAGTATCTTGGGTTCATATATTTGTATAGGGACCACTGTCCTGAGGGTCCCCTCCAACAAAAGACTGTTTAAAGCCTTTTCTACCTGTGGCTCCCATCTCTTCGTGGTATCTTTATACTATGGGACCATTTCAGGTGTTTATTTTTTCTCTTCATCATGGGGCTCCAATGACAAAGACATAATTGCTTCGGTTATGTACACAGTAGTTACTCCCATGCTGAACCCCCTTATCTACAGCCTGAGGAACAGAGATATAAAAGAGGCTCTGGAAATGTTTGTCAATAGGGCTAATTTCTTTAAGTGATATTCACTAAACTTTATTGCATCATGAGCACAGTGAGATGTATCTCCTAATATTTTTGTATGGCTGACAACTTCATGTGACTTTAAAGGAATATATATTCTGCTGTTGTGTATAGTGCTGTTAATCTGTTAACTAGGCCAAGTTTGCTACTTGGATTGTTAAATATTCTTTAATACTAATTAGTTTGTAGATTTGTCTTTTTCTCCTTTTAGATATGACAGCTTTTGCTTATGTATTTTTTATGCTATGCTACTGAGGACACAGATTTAGCATTACAATCTGTTCCTGGTAGACTGATTGTTTTATGTAGTGGTGTGCTGAATCTGGCTTGCATTGTGTTCAAGCTGATTGTACAATTTCGTCCCAGCTCCACATTCAATGACATAATTTTGAAAGATTGAAATCAGCCATAATGGGAATAATTATGCCACGTAAATTGGCAAATGCTCCAAAGCAGGGCTTCATAAAAAAGTGGCTGAGAAAGAGAGAGAGTCACTTTTTATACATTTAACAATAAACCACTGCATTTACAATTAGGAGATCTTCTTCTTCATCTCTAGCAATGGCTCTTAACATCTCATCTACTTCTTCTCATATTAGTATAGATATACCAGCTTTCTTTTGGTTGGTGTTTACATGGTATTTTTTTAAGACTTTTCTATGTCCTTATAGCTGTCAGGTGTCTGTTGTTTACAGTGGAAAGCTGGGTTTTTCTCTTGTTTAAGCAGAATGACAATCATCATACTTCTGGAGAATTTGATCTATTGACATTTAATGCCATCATGATATATTTGAATTTGTATTTTCCATACTACTATATCTTTTTTATTTGAGACATCTGTTTCATATTTATTCTCTCTTCTCTTTATCCTTTTCAATTAGTTGAATATATATTTTGCTATTCCATTCCCCCACTATTAACTTAGTAATCAATATTATTATTTTATAATTATTTTCTGAGCATTATGTTGAGATTACTTCTTACTTTCTCTTAAAATTTTTATTGTAGTATATATGCAAAACACGAAATTTAATGTTTTAATCTTTTCAGATATATAATTCAGGGGCATTTAGTATATCCATTACCATTATCTCTTTCAAAGACTCTACAAGGAAATTCTGTGGAACATCAGAGCAACTGAGTACTTTGCAGTTGTGAAAAAATAATGACAAATATATCTATGAATCAATATGGAAGTATTTCCAGGTTACATTGTTAAATGGGAAAAAAAGTGTAAAAAAGCATGTATAGCGTGCTACTTTCTGTGTGAAACTGAAAGGGAAATAAAATATACAGGCATCTTCCCATTTGAGCAAAAAGGAACACAAGCAGTATAAATCAGAAACTAAAGAGATTATTTCCCTACAAAAGGTGGATGTGAATCGGATAGAAAAGATGGGAAGATGAATATATTTATTCATATACTTTTAACTATGTTATCTTTTACCTACTAAAATAAATAAAGAGGGTGAATAATAAAGCAAAATAGAATAAAAGAAAGAAAATACACATAAATATGTTTCAAATTAATCCCATAATTAGAGTAAAGGGGAAAATAAAATAACTAACCCAAGTAATTCTTGAACAAAGAATTTTGTTTATATAATCCCACAATAAAGATAAAAAACTGTAAAGAATATGTTTGAGCTGTAATTAGTTTTTCCTTAACAGTGATGAGTTCGAGATTCTGAAATTACTTAACACGTATTCAAAGATTTGGAAAATAAGTAAACATATTGTGGAAAAAGAAATAACTGCTCACTATCAGGGTGTCAACAAAAATAATCAATAACCATCCTAGAGTAAAGGAAAGGAGATTTTCATTTGAGCCAAACTGAGGACTATGGCCTGGGAGTTGCAGCCTTCACAAGGGAAAAAAGTTCTCTGGAGAAGAGCAATTCTCAGCAGAGATATATACCCATTCCAAACAAAGATACATACATCAAGCATGACAGGGGTACATTCCTTCAAGTGTTCAAGGAAATATTCATTACAGATTAGCATGTACCCAGTGGATCAATATAACTCTGGCACGATAAGAAGGGAGCCATTAATTCTTATCTTTAAAAAGTACTGGCATCTTACGAAGCCAGGCATTAATTCTTATCTTCAAAGAGTACATTCATTACCTCAGGGTAATGATTAAAACAGATGACAGTGTATGTTTGACAGGCCATAAGTCAGCCTTCTTTGGTTCAAATAAAATTCAGGCCAAATCAAGCTCAAACCAGAATGGTTTCCCCATACACATTAATATATAAAAATTTCCATACTTCTTCCCCCTTTTGATGATTAATCTTACAATAGAAAGCATTGATGATCAAAATATTGTCCCTAGATACTAGGGTGCTTACTTCCTGACCTGGGCAAATCATGTCCCTTGGAGCTGGGCTTTACTTCAACTGGCCTAGTCAGTAATCCATACTGGTGGGCAATAGATGAATATGATTGACAATCATAGAGGTACACACTGACAGGGGAAGTAATTTTATATGGTATATATATTTTCAATTAGGTTGAATTGTCATGCAAACATTGTATGTGTGCTTTTGTATGACCTTTTGTGATTACAATGTTCACAACATTAATAAACAGATATAGTAAGAAACCAATCATAATATTTGAAGTAGCTAGTGTGAATTAGGCACAGATTTAGAGACGAGAAGCCAAAGAACCTGTTACAAGTATTTTGGTAACTTTATACTAATTTAAGTATTAATTTCCCTCCTTTGTCCACTGCTATGTGCACTTTATGATAAGTTTGGGTAGACTGGTTTAATATAGTAACAAGATCTTCAGTTGTCACTTGTAATGAGTTTCCAGGCCAGTTAGATTCCATTGAAATTACATTGTGTGGTAGATGTAGTTCTAATTTCCCAAACATTTGATCATCAATATCAATATGTGAACAGGTCTTCATATCTTAGGAAGTTCTATTTGACCAGCAAATCTGGTATTACACCACATAGTAGTAAAATTACGATAAGAAAATACTTTGATTACAATATTGATCAGAGATTATGACAGAGGTATTTTGTAAACTTTCCCAACAAAATTTCCCATTACCCATATACCACATATTTGTTTGCATGGGAGTGATTGTTATAGGCCAATTAGAAGAAAATTTGGGTCTCCACTGCTGTTTGGTGCATGGCCATAACCTTGATGGAATTTGCAGATTTCAGTTGATATGGGGTTCCAGTAAGAATTATTTGACAGTAAGGCCCATCTTCCCCCAACAGAGAGAATTCTGGTAGAATTTAAAGTGCTCCTTTCTCCTACTACTTGAACGACATCATAGGTGTAAGTTTAAGTACTAAAGCCACGATTGAACACTTATGTGAATTACAAGATCCTTAAATTGGAATCCAGGAAAGCTTCTTTATCCTGTTGATAATAGACTTGAGTATAAGACAATAGAGACTCACAGTAGTTGGTTATACTAGCATAAGACAACAACGGATCAGCAGAACGTTATGCACCAACAGACACTGATATGCCTGTGACCATCCCAAGTGGGATCAGTTCATGTTTTCCAAAAAGGGCACTGCAAGCAGTCAGGGAGACCAAAGGCATTTCCTTAGTTCCGGGGAGTATAGCCTAAAGGTATATAACAAAATGCCAAGGACAATTAACAGGACTAGAATCCAAAATCTACAAAGATGCAACATAACTTTCTCTCCACAATTACTCTCATTTTTACCAAAGATAGTCACAGTAAAACTAATTTGTTTATATTACAAACTTGGCCTGATTATTTATATACCTGAAAATAAGAATATTCAGTGAGAATTTCTGAATTCTTGAGGGATCTGGTAGGGAGAAAAAGTAAATGTTTCATATTTGTTCACAAAGGTATATCTTACCAAATTGTTGATAGCTTAAGAGAAAAAAATTTCTTTAAATCTGGAAAAATAAAATGTTAGACCAATCTGCTTGGTTTATATAGTCCTATGTAATTGGTATTTGATCTTGATCTTTCATTAGCAGTTTTATGTAACCATCAGTTTCTCCATTGGAGTTCTGTAATATCTTACCTAGTTCAGTTTTATGATCCAAAAGTTTATCAGAAACATGATTTCTCGAGTGTCAGAGGCCTTGACATGAATCTTTCTGAAGATGAAACATGTTTGCAAAGCTATCAGGTTAAAACAATAACTGTCTATAGATGGCAAGAGACATAACAATATAATGGAATTGAGAAGGAAATTTGGTTATTTCTGTGACATAAAATTTTAAGATAATAAGCAGAATTATGACTGATAAAGAGGACAGATCAGAATTTTAGGAATGTTATATAATTATTAAAATACTTATATTAATGACATTTGCTCACACAATATAACCAGAGAAGGTTTAACATCATCTGTTTGACAATGTTTCTCATATTTTTTAACATGCTAAAGAAGCCTAATTAGTTCAGTATCTCCCTCTTTATAGAAAGAAAGAATACGTTCTGTGAGAAGTCACATGGGCCTATGGAAATTCTCAAAGTCACTTTTAGGTCACAGGAAAGACTTTATTTTGAATTTGAATTTTGGGGAGTTTGTAAAAAATATCAAAAGATTTTAGAACACTTGGTCAAACGGGACCATAGGTCACAATAAAATAATACTCGTTTATCCATTTATCCATGGTGAAAAGTAAAGATTTTTGGCAAATACAGAAATTTAAATAGTTGGAAGAAATACCTTAGTTCTTATGAGTAAAGAGTTGATAAAAACAATGCAGGAAATTTATTTTGATAAAACATAAAATAATTTTTGGTAGACTACTCAAAAGTAAAGAAGAAAATCTTTCATGATCTATTTACCAAGAGCAGACTAAAAGTCCAAGAAAATTATCCTCTTATTTATTTTTTTAAGAGTTTTTATTTTTTTATTGTGTTTTGTTTTACAGCTTATTTTATTTTTTTTATTGCTGTAATACTGGATTATAACATTTATAGCTTTCAGATGTACAATTGTAATATATTTCGAATACTGTGTAGATTACCTTATGTTCACCACCCAAAAACTAATTATAGTCCATCACCACACATGTGAGCCTAATCACCCCTTTTGTCCTCCCCTCTCCCCCGCTTCCCCTATGGTAACCACCAATAAAATTATCCTTTTAAGTTAAAGAAACCAAAGTCTAATTTTTGTACCAGCTTATTTTTGATATTGCAACTGATTTCTTTATTGAAATTCATTTTCATTGTAGCCAACTTGACCATGCAGTAAACACTTTCATAAGGGTTTCTCTTCCACAAAACTTCTGTAAGTTTCTTCTTTACATTCAGAATTTCTTCCATGCCTTCCCTTCATCCTAGTACTTTAAGAAAATTTACTTTGTTAACAAAACAACTATTTGTTTTGTTAAGAATATCTCCATTCCTTATACCTTCTTTACCAAAAACATATGTCTTACTTTCCTTGCACACAGAGATGTTTCTGTTACTTTTTACACTAAGATCCTGGTGATTGGCAGACTTATACATATTTTCTAGAAACATGCTTTTTCATGGAAAATTTTTAAGCATGTCACAAAACATATTTATTAATAAACGAAGCATTTTTCTAGTTTCTTTGTAAAAGAACCCAAAGGTAGATAAATCTATGTTTAGTAATTAGTATCTAATATTTTATATTATATGGAAATGACATAGATATTTAATAAATTTCTATCATTTAATTTAGCAAAACTGTAAGGTTTCAAGTAATCAAAAGTTTTTAAAGTCATTTTTAAGTACATATACCATAATCAAAGTCTTTGAGAAATTATACCATCTGGAAGTAGAAAAATTCACATGTATAACACAC